GGAGCTTATTACAAGAATCTGTATGGAGGAGGAAGGAGGTAAGCGGCATAAAATGAAACGACTATCATATCTGCTATAGATATCCATGATACATGATGGCTACTTCTCAGAAGAAATCATTGGCGACGATGAAGAAATCTTCATGTCTGCATGTTTTATCAGCTGAATTTTATGTGCGCACGTGTAGACTGTGATTGTATATAATCTTGCTAAAAAAAGTTCGTGTCAGGATCGAAAGCGGTGGAACGGAAGTTTTTTTTGTTGTTGTTGTTTTCGTTAGCACCGCAATATTTTAGCGCGTTCGATTTCTTGTCCCACCCTACGATCTGTCCCCTGGGTAGATCCGAGGACGACAAAAAGTTTGAATGTCCCGCGGTTCGATAACGATAACTGGAAAGATCAATTAATTTCATACCTTTCCAATTGAAATTGCATAGGGGAGGTAGAGGCGGAGGAAGAGGTGGTTATCAGCAAAGGAACAACTACAGGGGTGGAAGACCGGATTCTGCTTCGTACCACAGGGACTATGAGGGCTCAAGAACCTCGGAGGTGAGAAGCCCGGGTTGAGGGGGCAGGGGGGTGGGTGCGGTACTCCCATATATTAACTATAGGTATGTGCCGCAGTATATATAGGGTATGGTTTTTGAGGTTATTGATCCTTAAATGGGGTATCATTTTGCCCCTGTTGGCATTGCGCATGTGCGCAGTTCCCGGTATGATCCTTAAATAGGGTACCTAGATTGTATCAGCCAAAGTTGCAGTGTGTAAATGCCCAGCTTATCAAAAAACAAATCCTTCTGCTCAATGCTTAACTTCCAATGTTACAGAAATGAAATAAAGTTCACCCATTCACGCCATTCTAAGGTTTCGTTTTTCTCTTGAAATAGGGCTTCAATTTTTTGGGTTTGTGCGTTAAATAGTGTATCAATTTTCATTTACTTCATCCTTACATAGAGTCAGGGTTTAAGACCCTTCATGGCACACACCTATGTAAAATTTATGGGAGTACCCCCTCCCCCCCCCCTTCGGGTGGTGAGAAGTATAATTATGCAACATGACGCATATTAACCTGTGTATGTGTAGCTACCTGTGTATACCTGTAGCTGCTTGATAGGATGGCTGTACACAGGCTGCAATGTTAAAGCACATCTTATAAATTACACTTGCATAAGGGCCCATGTATGATTGTCAGGCATGCAATTGCGAGAATAATTTTGTAAAGATATATGTTGTATCTCTTTGTGTGAATCCTTAATTACACTCACACTNGGAAGAGGTGGTTATCAGCAAAGGAACAACTACAGGGGTGGAAGACCGGATTCTGCTTCGTACCACAGGGACTATGAGGGCTCAAGAACCTCGGAGGTGAGAAGCCCGGGTTGAGGGGGCGGGGTAGGTGGGTGGGGTAGGTGGGTGCGGTACTCCCATATATTAACTATAGGTATGTGCGGCAGTGTATATAGGGTATGGTTTATGAGGTTCCTGATCTTTAAATGAGGTATCGTTTTTGCTCCTGTTGGCATTGTGTGCGTGCGCGTGTTCACGGTATGATCCTGAAATAGGCCAGGGTACATGTGCCTAGATTGTATCAGCCAAAGTTGCAGTGTGTAAATGCCCAACTGATCAAAAAACAAATCCTTCTGCTCAATGCCTAACTTCCAATGTTACAGAAATGAAATAAAGTTCACCCATTCACACCATTCTATGGTTTTGTTTCTCTCTTGAAATAGGGCTTCAATTTTTTGGGTTTGTGCGTTAAATAGTGTATCAATTTTCGTTTGCTTCATCCTTACATAGAGTCAGGGTTTAAGACCCTTCACGTCACACACCTATGCAAAATTTATGGGAGTACCCCGTCCCCCCCTCCCCAGGGTGAGAAGTATAATTATGTAACACAACGCTTATTAACCTGTGTATGTGTGTAGCTACCTGTGTATACCTGTAGCTGTTTGATAGGATGGCTGCACACAGGCTACAATGTTAAAGCACATCTTATAAATTACAGTTGCATAAGGGCTCATGCATGTTTGTCAGGCATGCAATTGCGAGAATAATTTTGTAAAGATATATGATGTATCTCTTTGTGTGAATCCTTAATTACACTCACACTCATACGATAACCTATAATCAGTCAATTCTGATACAGTTATCTGAGGTATTTCACAGGTGGTTGAAGTTTACCCAAAGCTTCCTGAAGAAAGCCAAAGAAAAATATTTCTGAACACCTTCAAAGATCACCTAAACCCCTCTGAAGATTATTAGTAAAGATTTATGAATAATTTACATGGCTGTGGTCTAAGCAAAATTATGAGGAGCCCATTGGGTTTCTAACCATGAAATCCTGGGTGCTCAGCACTTAAGCTTATATGAAAAAAGTACTGGTAAGTTTTTCCAGTCACCCAAAGGCAAAGGTAAGTCGCCTGTGGCACCTGGGCGTTTATAGAGCACAGCCCTAATTTTTTCTTAGTTTACAATTTCCTCCACACAAGGTTTCTGTGAGGAGGCTAACATATGTACCTTATTATTGCCCGACAGGATCTGGCTTATATACTTGCTGATTTAGAAGGAAAAAGCTACAAGGCCTACCATGATATTTTAGGTAATGTGGCATTTAGACATGCAAATGAGACATGGTTTGAGAGGCCTTCTTAACTACCTGTGTTGACACATCTGTGGAGATCATTATCATATGCCTCTAAAGGAATGATAAATTATAATTATTATTTATGTAAACAGTAGCCTCCATTTGGCGCGAAAATATGCTAAGATATTTGTCTGTGGACATGATCTGTTCCGAGAAGTGAACAGTTTTGCGAGAGCGTAGCTCGAGGAAAACTGTGAGCCTCGAGGAACAGATTATGTCCAAGGACAAATATCTTAGCATATTTTTTGCGCCAAATGGAGGCTATTGTGTTTATTATCCTTCAGATCTTTTTTGCAACATGCACAGTTTTGAAAATTGGGGAATATTCTCAGATATTCCCCAGTTTTAGCTGGAGAATATTCGGT